TTTAATTTATTATATAGAATATTAAGAAAGAAAATAAAAAAATACTAAAGAAAACTAAAAATTTTAAGTTGATTAAATAAAGAATCAAAATTTTCTTTTTTGAGACTTAATAGATAAAGAAATATTTAAGCAGCCCAATTCCTAATTAATTAAATTGTCATAAGATTCATTTTATTTAAAATCATATTCTTATTTTTTGAAAACTTTTAATTTAAGTCATAAATACTCTCTCTACATTTGAAATGATACTTGAAATTTATACTATAACACAATTTTAAACAAATAAAAGTTAAAGTACCATATTAAATGTTTTTCAAAAGTTTAGGGGGGCGGCTGCCTCCCCTTGTCCTTCACTGGCTCCGTCCCTGACATGGGTATCTTCATCTATATAAGGGTCTAAATTTCTTAGTTTTGGGTCAGAGAGTGAGCAACAGACAGAAAAAAAATCAAGAAAAACAGTTAATACATCCAGTTCAAGCCCAATGGCGGGGAAACAACAAAATGTCGACTACAATATAGTGGATGGCAAGCTGCGTGGCAGGCGAGTGGGTTCAGAGACTCAGACAGTTACTGTAGAAGACTCCACACGAAGCAAGATCACAATCTCGACAGAAAACGTAATTAATTACAATGTTTGTTAGATTGTTTGTTTCTTGTTTCTTGTTTTCTTATTTTTATATTTTAAAAATTTTTTGGCTAACGGAGAACTTCTGGAAGGTGCAGAGATCTGTCCGTGACACACCGTTGGCTGAACCAGAAGCAAACCATCCAAGGAACCAGAAGTACGACTCTAAAGGTATCAGCCTAACTCCTCCTCTTTTTGCTACATATTAAAACATCAATAAAATCAATAATATTTCCATCTTAAATTTAGTTTGATGCTTTGACGGTATGTGGCTATGTGCTTCAGTATATAATTCCTTTTGGTGCTCTAATCCTTTCGATGATAAGTGGTGACATCGGAAGCAGAAACATAAGACAATGAGATAGACCTCTTCTATCAACTGCCACTAGTTTAAAATTGAATTCTCTAACACGGTGTGTGGGCAGGTTATTTTTTTATTACATTGGCAAGATTAATATTCTAAAGAGTAACATACAATTGCTCGCTCTAGTGCAGAGGCTAAATATCATGTTATTGTTGATGTTGTTGCAAAAGCTACTTGCATTCGACATTTATTATTTGAATGGCATGTTTTGCCATCCAGTGCACTACTTGTTTTCTGTGATAATCTTAGACCATTCATTTTCTTCGTAAAAAAAGTAGCATCTGGTGCAATTACTTTCAATCAAGCAATCGAACAGAAGCTTAAAATTCTCATTAAGAGCTTTAGAATCAATGCATAAATTAGTTTTTCACCAATGCAGCTAAGTTGCTAACCATTGGATGTATTCTTGATTAAGGTAGCGAACATCGTACTACAGACATCAACAGAGGTCCTGGGGCTGCAGCTCGGAATAAGGGAATAGCGTCCGGATCTATAAACGATCGCATCGGCGGTGCTCTTCTTTTCCTACTGTCCATTTTAGTGCATTTTTATCCTTTTATTATTAAATATATAACTAACTATACTTTATTGATTATGTAAAATTTGATTAGTCGTAGATATTAATCAATTTAAAAGTTAAAATATACAAACATAACATTAAATTTAATTATTATTTTTTCAAAATATTTGTTAAAAATTTATATTTTTAAGATTAAGACTTTAAATTTTAAATTGAGATTGATAGGCAGTGTTCTTTTTTATTATTAATATATGTTAATTATTTGAGCAAACCAAATAATTAGAAGAATGGTGTGCAGAGATCAACTTCGGTAAGAGTAGTAAAGAAGAAATTGAATGGAGTCTCCAAACTGGCGGGAATATAAACATAGGCATTGCTCCGGGAGCTGACAATGAAGGCGAGAAGTCTGGAAGTATTAATGGCGGTACGGGAGCTATCAATATATAACTTATGGTAGTAATTACTTATCAGCAATTGTTGCTGCTTATATTTGTAGCCTATATATATAAAGGCCATAAAAAAAGAAAAAGAAAAAAAAAAAGGTAGAATCTGCTGATATGTTGAGTATGTGATGTGCTGACGAATGTACCTGTGTGTGCTGCTAAGAAGAAGGGTGTGTACCGTGTGGTATCTGATTAAAAAGTAAAGAGGCGTGTATGAGAACTATGATGTAATGTATTTGATGAGTTACCATAGTAAGATATTACTTAAAATCTGATAATGATTAATTGTGAAAGGATAATCAAGAGAAATATTAAATCTTGTCTAATTCGGACAATGAAAGAATTCTAATATTTGGAAGAGGTATTGTTAAAATAAGTTGTGAACGATGAAAGAGCTATGTTTAGAAGAGATGATAGAAGACATAATCGAAGCAATATTTGGTAAGATTAAGGGTTGATAACAACTTTTTTTTTTTTTTAATAGTAGAGATTCAAAAGATTCATTAATAATAAAAAATGACTACAAAGAAATCTCAATGAATTCCATCTTATAGGCATAAAAACGCAAAACTAAATCAATATAGTACTAATAACAAATGATTCGGTGATTACATATATGGACAAGTAAATATAGAGCCGTTAATTACTAGTGATTATTAAGTAATTGCTATAAGAAACAACCGAAGCAAGCATTGCAACTCGTCCGAATCCAGCCAACCCTACATCTGGGTTGTCTTCCTCCACCATAATTTTATTACTGGGGTTCATGTCGAGTCTTGGTCCAAGCTATATATTGACAATCAATAGATAGTCCCTCCCTTCACGAACAATATCCCTAATTCTTGATTGGAGTTGGAGGGATGATTAAGTATGGAAAAAGTGTTAAGCACTCACAATTTTTTGTAAAAAAAGAAAAAAAAAAAAGAGAGAAAAAAAAAAAGAAAAAAGAAACATACTTTAAATTTGAAGTTCTCAATTTGCTCACATAAAATAAGAAAATAAATCTTCTAAGCAGAAATGAGCTTTTTTATCCTTTTCCCATGATTAAAGAAGACAACAAAAAATTGATAATATAAAAGAAAACCCAGAGGAAATCAAAATCAAAAGCTTAAGCAACCCATTTCAGAAGCTTAGCTTACATGGATTAAAATGTTTTGTTCTAGCGCAAATGAATCTTAAAAATCACTAAACCAATTCTTATCCTTTGTTTTCTTATTCAAGACGCCTTAATTTCCATTTCGCTACAAATAAACAATCAAATGAGAGCGTCACCAGGACATCACGATTTAACCTAAAGGAACCTAGCATTTTCTTGGACACAGAACTCGACAGAATAAAGGAAATAGATGAATTTAAAAGTCTTTTAAATAATCTGCCATGATTCTATTAAAAATGAATATAAAATACCTAAAACAAATAGAAATCAAACACAGCGAATCATAGAAAGCTTACAAGAGTAGATCTTGATGAATAAGGTTGAAAACAAGTATGACAAATCGAACATAGCATGAATTTCAAGAAAACAGTTTCAACAACTGTATCTTTAGATTGAGGAGGTGGAAAGGGAAGGGAAGGAGTTATATCTTTTTGTTCTCTTTCATACCCTTCTCTCCACTCCCCTCATTTAGATAAATTAATAAATTAAAAAAATAAATAAATCAAAAGGACTCTATGTAACGTGGGGAAAAAATATATTTGACAGATTTTGAATCTCTGCCTCACCTCTTTGCAATCTCGTGTGCTTTTCTCTCCCCTTCTTTCCTCCTCCTATTTTTTTCGGCTGCTTTCTGTCTACTCTCAAATTTTTTGAGTTTTTCTCCCCTCTCTCTCACATGGCCAAAAGCCCACTTTCATACAAGACAAGAAAAGAACCCAAACTTTTCATGCCAATTACAAATAAAAATCCAATTTTATTTGGAATTGAAATCTTAAAATCTTAAAATTCAACTAATTCTTCACACATCTTTTTTCTTTATGGGCCAAATTCGTACCCTTGTGGATTAAAATTCTGGCAATAATTAAATTCGGAGTTTTTTCCCTGCTGCTTGTGGCTTGCGGCTCCACTCCGATTCCTCGATTGACTAACCTTAGCTTCGAAAATCTCTCTTTATGCTGTATTCAACCAAACCCAAGGGATAAAATCAAGGGAGAAAGTTCAAAATTGGGAAAGAAATCGGGAGGTGGTAGACTTGGAAAGCATCAGAACGTGAGAATTTTATCCGGCTGCAGGTATTAATTCAGCTGAGATAGAAACGACGTCGTTTCATGAATCTTTTGATCCGAATCTTCTGTGCCTTATTAATTTAGTCCCTTGACTTCTTATGTTATCAGCCAAGTCCTACAAGTCACAATTTCAAAGTCTTGGCTCTTTGCAATAAAGTTTAATTTATTTATTTTTTTCCTTTCTCCCCATTCATTTCCTAATTTTTCATTGAACCTTTAAAATTGAATTTATAAGCAATTTTCAAATAGATATCCGATCAAAATTGGGTTATGACACCCCATATGTGCCATGTGATGACTATCAACATGAATGTCAAAAACAGCCTTAAACTTCCTTTTCCATGATATTGAGCAAAACCAATTAATGCTTCTTTAATCATCAATCATGTGATCTAATAATAGAGTTATTTATAGTCTTAGCTATAAGTCTAGGGTTCCCCAATCTTTATATTCTTAAAAAAAAAGCTTCTTTAATGACCCCCAACAAAGTAGTTTTTTTTGTTTTTTTTTTTAAATAAAAATGTAGTTGTATTAATAATTGAATCAATTACAACATAAATTATTCCTTGTCATACATGCTATGTGAAAAATATAAATCATGCTAGGAAGGACCTATGATACTAACACAAAGAGCTAATATAATTTTCATGACAAGATAATTAAGTCTTGAGAACCTCAAAACATTAGCATACGTCATAGGGGTATTAATAAAAATATGTAAAAACATAGATTACTCTAGAACTTTCTATTCGCTGTTGGTAACCACATTTATTTTATCATTTAATCATAGCATGGGAGATCATAAGACATGGTGATGTAGTGTCTCCTAGCACTACAATACTCTATCTAAACTCAGATAAGTTTCTAATCTGTAAATGGGTGAAAGACATCTACTTGCATTGCCATTATAGTGCCTAAGTCATCCAGTCTAACCTTAGGCACCCTTCCATCTTCAAATGCATTCAAAGCCAACTTCCTTTTCCCCTTTGCATCCTTAGCTTGGGGGAAACTTCAAAATTCCTTAGTATTCTTTTCTATGTGCCTTGTGAGGTTTGACCATCTCTATTCTTTTTACCAAAGCTCATAAAAGGTCCACCATCAAACCTTAATGGCACCTTAATCAATTACATATGTGGGGCTCATATAGGTACAAGGGTGGTGTTGGCATAACCATTTGGAGGCTCGTATTTTTTCATTTGTTGCCAGGCCACTTAGATTATTCTTAATTGGGCTATATCTTGTGTCCTCTCCACTAGGCCCCTTTAGCTCATTTTCCTTACAATAGGTCCCTTCACTTTTTCGGCCGAAATCCTGAGATGTACCCCTTGTTGATGTGCCAAAACGGATGGATTCGCCATCTATCCAAATGAGGTGAAATAGATCACCAAAGTTTACGTAAAAATTAATTAGGTTTGGAGGGTCGATTAAGCATGGGAAGGTGTTAGGCACCTCATAACTTTCATATAAATATGGTTAGCAAATACTTTTAATTTTTGGGGAGTTTTCAAAAAAATAAATAAGAATCACCAAGAGAAATAAACACAAAAAAAAAGAGATCAATTAAAACACCTCACTATCTTTTCCCGTTTCTATTTTTTTTATGTTTCTGTTTTTAAATTTTTTCGTTTCTGTTTTCTTTTTTTTTTTTTTTTTTTTTAATTAACAAATTTATATATCCATTTTTTAAAACCATTTGACAAATTTCACTTATTAAAATCTAAATTCCCTACATACATTATCATCTAAATACTAAAGATACTTAACAAATGAAATACTGTACAATATTTCTTG